ACCCTAAACCCCAAACCTAAACCCAAACCGGCAGGTGGTGTTTTAGGGTGTTCCAACACAGAAATGGCATGTGTTGAGCCCCCGTGCCCCTTGTAAAGCAAACTCTGCTTCAAACAGCCTTTTTAGGTCCTTGAAAGTCAGAAATGAAGGTCTTCTGTCATGCTCTTTCGTGAGGGCTCTGGCCAGAGGCATGGCTTGCAAGTCGCTTCTTGCACAGAAACCTTCTAAGCGGGTGCATGCGACGGTTTTGGCGAGCAGAAAGCTTCTCGACTCCTTGAAACAGAGAAAAGAAAGGCTCGTCCCTCACCGTCCTTGAGAATGCCCTGAACCTTACACCTGACCTTACACCTGAAAGCGTTTCAAGTCCTTGAAACACACAAATAGAACCCTAAACAGCCTTTGAATTCCTGGCAGGCTGTGTGCCTTCGCAAAGCGCATCCGAAAGGATCAATGGCCTGGTCAAGTTCACCACCGGGAATGTGCTTCAGAACAACTTCTCCTGGGATGCGCGGGTTGCCAGCGCAGTGATCTGCGACAAGTACCGCAAACTCGCAGCGTGCGGCAAGAAGAGGAAGCACTGCGACACACGCGCCGGACATTGGGATGACGAGGACTGGAACATGGAGGCCGACAGTGACAAGGAGGATCTTTCGGATGACGCAGACGCCAGGCCAATGGAAGCTGGCTTGGATTTCGAGGCGCTGTCCGCCTAAACACCTTCCTCACTCTCAGTCCCTTTCACCCCCTATAAAGCATGGCCCAAACAGTGTTTCAGTACCTTCAAAAGTATCCCAAAACGCTTCCAGGCGGATCCAGTTCCAGACGCACCCTCGCTGGGCTCGGCAAGCTCCGCTTCCACTTCCAGCAGCTCCAGTTCCTCAGCAGAGAGTTGCTCAGACTCCGACGACTGAGTCTCCAAGGGCGACGACTTTTGGTGCCTGCTTGTTTTCTTGTCCAGAGGCGTTCATGAGTCTCCAAAGAGTTCCAGACACGGCCGTCTGGGCAAGAGCATCGCAAGACCACTTGAAACCCTAAGTCCAGATACCTTGCAAGGCACAAATCCAATCAACCCTTGAGATAGGGCTTAGCCTTCAGGTTTAGGATAGGGGCTTAGGGTTACTTGGTGGGGAAGTCACTTCCATTGGTTTTAATTGCTAGAAAGACTATGGCAGTAAGGAGCACCAATGGTCGGGCGGTTAAGGTGTTGGGCTGTCGACCGCTCATGTCCAGGTTCGAATCCCGGAGGCGAGCTTTTGGTTTCTCCATACAATCGTGTGCTATCTCTGACTTTGGGTCCCCTGAAACGCCGATGGGAGAAGGCAAACCTCCGTAAAGACATTGGCTGGCAAACCCTCAATCCTAAAAGGTGCTGTGTGGCAAGCCCAAAACCCTAGAAGTAGAGGCTGAGTGCTGGTTCCAGGCTTTTAAAAGGGTTCAAAGTCTGGATTCCTGGACTGCAGGCGCAGAACAGGCCCAGAACAGGCCCAAGCCCCAAAAAGGAGAAGTTGCACGGCAGCCCTAAACCCTAAAAGGCGCTGTGGCAAGCCCAAGACCGTGACAAAACAACAAAGCAGGCCTGGGTACTGGTTCCAGGCCCCTAAAACGACGACAAACAAAAAAATCCACAACCCGCCAAAACACACGCTCGCTTTGGTTCCTGCTTTCGCTGAGCCTAAGTACTGGTTCCAGGCCACTGAAACGGTGGCAAGCTTAAATGATATGCAGTGTGAAAGGTGCTTTGTGGCTTGCCCAAAACCATGACCATACAACAAAACAGAGGCTGAGCACTGGTTCCAGGCCCCTAAAACGGCGGCAAGCTAACAACAGGTTCCAGGCCACTGAAACGGTGGCAAGCTTAGTGTGGCCTGCCCAAAACCACAGGCTGACTCCTGCTTCTAGACATTAGGCCGGACTTTGGACCCTCCAAAACCTTGATTGGAAACTTACAGTCCCTGAAATGCCGAAAAAGGAAACGGTTGCCAACAACAACTGAGGAGGGGTTAAACCTTAAAACCCGAGAAGGTTCCAAGGTTAAGCAATGCAACCTAAACCCTTCACCTTTAAACCTTACAGAGGCTACATAGGTACTGCTTCCAGGCTTTTCAAACGGTGGCAGGTGAGATCCTCAAGCCCTGAACGGTAGTCGGCTTTTAGGGGCTAGGTCATAGACAGTGACTAGTGTGCTCTTGCGATGCCTGCGCAGACCTGGATTCGCGCTGGGTAGAATCTAGAAGGGGTTTGGGGGGAGTAGAACGTCCCGGAAGCTTTGTGGCGCATTGCAGCATGAATCACGCAAGGCACTCTTCCTGTTTGATGTGTCAAAAGCTGTGCCGGTGCTTGTTCTGATACTTCAAAAGCAGCGACTTGGGGTGTACAGAGGGGCCCCGCGACTGTTTAAGGCAGTCACCGCTGGCGAGCTTTCTGAGAAGGAAAATCTCCTGTGTCCAGATCCAGAGCAAGCTTCCAGTCCCCTGAAACCCTTGCTTGACTAGCTTTCGTGTGACAAACCAAGCAAGCAGGGCATGTGCAACACCAATAACAACATGTGTACTCAGAGCCGTGAAATACATACGTGGAAAACGGATTACGTGCTAACCGGCCGGCACGTTAACACGCAAACCCTACCTAGCTAAGGCATGGCAATGAAAGCAAGTTGTAGAGTTCTTAACTAGGATGCCCAGTCGTACCCTTATTCCCTTTTTGGGGGCTCTAGGTTCCCCTATAAACCCCTTTAAGCAAGAAAGGGCACCCTTTTTAATCCTAGGTTATTGGGCAACCTAGTTAAGAGAGAGGTACAAGGGGGGTAGGTAACCAAAGCTTCCCTCATGCTCCCCGCAACTCCCTAGGGCTCCCCAAGCTTGCCTAAGGCTCCCCTAGGTACCTCCCCCCCATGAACCCTAAACCCTAAACCCCAAACCCTAAACCCGAAACCCTAAACCCCAAACCACAAACCCTACACCCTAAACCCTCAACCCTAAACCCTAAACCCTAACCCCCCCCCCCGCCCCCCGCCCTTAAGAGCCCTATTAACCGAGGCGTTGTCTGATTCTGGCCGTGGCCGCCGCCAACGCGGACCTCGCCACGGCGGACTCCTTGGCGCTTGCGCGGGAGGCCGGGTTTCGGGTTTAGGGTTTAGGGTTTGGGGTTTGGGGTTTGGGGTTTGGGGTGTAGGGTTTGGGGTTTAGGGTTTGGGGTTTGGGGTCTAGGGTTTAGGGTTTGGGGCTTAGGGTTTGGGGCTTAGGGTTTGGGGTTTAGGGTTCAGGGTTTGGGGTTTGGGCCGCTAGGGTTTTGGAATCCTATGCTACCCCGTCCTAAAGGATCAGCTTAGGGCTGAGCGAAGGTTCGTTGAAGCGATGGCGCCTATCTAGATGACCAGCATCGTGTATTAAACAATAAGCCCCTACATCCCTCAACCTTAAGACGCCAGAGCTAAACCCTCACCTATCTTATCGCCCTAAACCCTAAACCCTAAACCCTAAACCCTAAACCCTAAACCCTAAACCCTAAACCCTAAACCCATCTGTCAGGTGGACCCCAAGGGAGAGCGTACTCTGGGCGTGCTGACTAAGATGGCCCCAGCCTCAGCAACGAAGGGTTTAGGGTTTAGGGTTTAGGGTTTAGGGTTTAGGGTTTAGGGTTTAGGGTTTAGGGCCCTCATCCCGAAACCCAACTTGGAGGTTCATGGGTACCGAAAACCCCATTAGTTTAGGGTTTAGGGTTTAGGGTTTAGGGTTAGGGTTTAGGGTTTAGGGTACTTATAACTTAAACCCCTAAGTACAGCAAAGACGCTGTATGAGAAAACGGTTTTCCGGCGATAGGGTACCCTAAGTTTCTTAGTTTCCATTACCCATGTACCCGGGGGGGTTTGAGCCTAGGGTAGGCTTGGTTTCTAAACCTTAGACCAAACCCATGTTCCAGGAATGGTGGTGGGAAGGGTTCCCGAATGTGACTCCCGCGCGTTTTGGGGTAGGGTCAGGCCAGAGGCGCGGGGGAGTCACGTTTTAGAGCTTTTCAGGGCTGAAAACCTCTAGAATGTGACTCCCGCAGGCGCGGGGGAGTCACGTTTTTGAGCTTTTCAGGGCTGAAAACCTCTAGAATGTGACTCCCGCGCTTTTTTGGGGTAGGGCCGCAGGCGCGGTGGAGTCACGTTTTAGAGCTTTTCAGAGCTGAAAACCTCTAGAATGTTACTCCCGCGCGTTTTTGGGGTAGGGTCAGGCCGCAGGCGCGGGGGAGTCACGTTTTAGAGCTTTTCAGGGCTGAAAACCTCTAGAATGTGACTCTCGCGCGTTTTTGCGGTAGACCCGGGGGGTGTTGCGGGCAGGATTTTTTTAGAAGCTGACCCCAGGGTACCTTAAGTTTCTTAGCTAGAAGGCAACCGCAAATCGACCAATATTCCCGGGTCTACGGGCTCAGTTTCTTAAACAGTGGTTTCTTATACAGTGGTTTTACTGTAGGGGTCTACTTTTCACCTACTTAGAAGACTTAGGGGTGTATAAGTGAGTTAGTTATAGTTGATTGAGCTGATGAGTACCCTGAACCTCTAAGTGAACCACCACATGGGTCCTTCTTTTAGGGGTGACGTACTATATAGGCGACCCAGAATTTAGAGAAGTATCCATTTTGTTTTCATACTCTAGGGTTTATGGGGTTCAGGATTTTTGGTGTTTTAGGGAGGATGGGCCTTATCAACCCTATATCCGTAAGAACCCCAAAGCTCTACGACCTTTAAACCCCTAAGCCCTAAAAACCCTAACCCGAAAACTGTACTCTAAACTCTAAACCCTAAACTCTAATCCTGAACCCTAATCCTAAACCCTAAACCCTAAACCCTAATCCTAAACCTTCATCCACCCTTTAAAGGGACCTCTGGAGCTAAACCCCAAAGGATCCATGTACCTATATAGCATATACTTGGGCCCTAAAGCTACTGTATAGGAACCCCTTAAAGGCCTAAGTATATACTATATAGGTACATGGATCCTTAGGGAACGCGTTTGGAGGACCTTGTCGATTCCACCGCGGCGGATCAGACAGCCGCGGTCTTGGCGGGCAAAGTATACCCGCCCGGGGTCCCGGAGGGGGCGGTTTAGGGTTTAGGGTTTAGGGTTTAGGGTTTAGGGTTTAGGGTTTAGGGTTTAGGGTTTTAGGGTTTAGGGTTTAGGGTTTTAGGGGTTAGGGGTTAGGGTTTAGGGTTTAGGGTTTAGGGTTTAGGGTTTAGGATTTAGGGTTTAGGGTTTAGGGTGTAGGGGTTTAGGGGTTTAGGGGTTTAGGGTTTAGAGTCCCTGAACCCTAAACCCTCAACCCCACACCCAAACCCCAAACCCGGGAGAAAACTCGAGGGGGAGGGGGACGTACCAGGCCTTCGACCCAGACTTATAGGGTGTATAATACCGTTGCAGGGTTTAGGGTTTAGTTTTTCGGGTTTAGGGGCCTAAAACCCTAAACGCTAAACCCTGATTTCATCCCTAACTAGGCACTTCGTCTGATGAGGCTTGAGCTCCGTCTGGTTTTCGTTCGGGCGATTTGTGAAGCTCATTTTAAAGAAGCCTGCAAGGGGGACCCTAAGCCCTGTAATCCTACAACCCTGCATCCCTTGAACCCTAAACCCTATAGACCCTTTAGACCCTACAGCCCTGTAACTCTATAACCTAAACCCTATTTTTAACGCTAAACCCTAACCCTAAACCCTAAACCCTATGACCCTCAACCCTTTTGTGCTTGCAACAGCTCCGAAGCAAGCGGACCAAGCACCCCAGGTTTACAGGGTTCTTAAGGGAGGGCGGTTCAAGGCTCAAGGGGGGTATCTACCCCAAGGTTCCCTAATACTCCTACAGCTTCCCTAAGGTTCCCTAATACTCCCAATTTAGGGTTTGGGGTTTGGGGCTTGGAGTTTGGAGTTTGGGGTTTGGGGCTCAAGGGGAGTGTATAACCCAAGCTTTCCCTAATACTCCTACCTAAGGCTCCTGAAGCTTCCCTAAGGTTCCCGAGGTACCGTACCTACCCCTCTTGAACCTCCCTCCCTAGCCCTTAACCCAAAACCCAAAAACCCTAAACCCTAAACCCCAAACCCCAAACCCAAAACCCTACACCCTAAACCCTAAACCCTAAACCCTAAACCCTAACCCCTTGAACCTCCTTGAAGAACCCTCTAACAGGCTGAGTCTGGGCTTTGTCGGGGTCATCTGCGGGCACCGGGGCGACCTCCAGGAGACCTTTTAAAAGCGGGGGTGGGGGGGTGGGGACCCTACTAAACCCTAACCCTAAACCCTAAACCCTAAACCCTAAACCCTAAAACCTAAACCCTAAATTGGTTTAGGGTGGGTTTGAGTGAGTGCTTGAAGGCTCTTGAGTGTCTGTGGGCGTTGCCGGGTTTCAGGGGCATCGTTTGGGGCCCCCCCCAACACAGTAGGCAAGCACCACTTTGTGAACCGATGTGCTGGCCGGTTTTTTCTTAGCAGACTGTTGGTGTTCCAGGTAAACCCCAATCCTAACCCCTAGACCCTTCATCCCAAACGCTAAGCACCCACGGTCGGCCCTGGCATGACTGGAAAGAGAACCCGGACATTGCATTGAAGCGGCGCGGCCCGAAAACTAAACCCTAAAGCCTAAACCCTTAACCCTAAGCCCTATAGGCCCTAAACCCAAGCCCTAAACCCTAAGCCTAAACCCTAACCCTAAACCCTAAACCCTAAACCCTAAACCCTAAACCCTAAACCCTAAACCCTAAACCCTAAACCCTAAACCCTAAACCCTAAACCCTAAACCCTAAACCCTGAACCCTATAGTATGCAATCGGCCCTGGTGGACTTGGACAAGATTGTTGCGATGGCATGTTGGCAAGCTTTTCCAGCGCTTGCCGCCGGAGGGCTGCGCAGAATGCACATTACATGCTTCAAGGTTTAGGGTTTAGGGTTCAGCCCTGCACAAGAGACCCACCCAAGCAACCCTATGCCCTGCGCAAAACTTAAGCCCCAAACCGCGTATAAGTCCCTGCCCCTAGACCCTATAAACCCTAAGCCGTAAAAAAAAGACATAAATGCTAGAGCCTACATAAGACCGTTATCCTACACAGAACCGCATGCGTGTAAGTGGTTGAGGGTTGAAGTGTTCAGGTCTTAGTCGTTATTGAAGGGCTTCGTTGAGGGTTAGGTTTAGGGTTTTGGGGTTCGGCGTTTTAAGTTTTTCGGGTTTTAGTTACGTGTTTTAGAGGTTTGGTGATAGGGTTGAGGGGCCTTAGAACTGTCTACAATAATTACAAGCGTGTTGGTTGGGGAATCCACGGCCCCACACCCTAAACCCTGAAGCCCCCAACTCCTAAATCCTAAATCCCAAGCCCCAAGCGCCAGACCCTAAACCAAACCCGAAGCCCCAAACCCCAACCCCACGCCCTAAACCCTAAACCCCGCACCCCAAACCCCACCCCCCCAACCCCAAACCCTAAACCTCAAACCCGAGACTCAAACCGTTATCCTCAAACCCCAAACTCTGAGCCCCAAACCGTAAACCCCAAACCCTCACCCCGAAACTCAACCCTAAACCCCAATCCGAGACTTAAACCCTTATGCCTCAAACCCTAAACCCGAAACCCTAGCCAAACCCCAACCCCGAGACCTCCCTCCACCCTTTCACCTTCTCTGCAGGATTCTGCCAGGGCCTCTGAGGAGCTTTGGCTGAGGTTTAGGGTTTAGGGTTTCGGGTTTTGGGTTTAGGGCTTAGGGTTCAGGGTTTAGGGGTTTGTAGATGTTGTAAGGCATGGTCGAGGGTTGATAAGGCTTATAGGGTTTAGAGTTTACGTGGTACTTCTTGGGCATTTAGGGCTCCGGACTATTGTTTTTTGTATAGTGCATCGTAATCGCGAGCGATTTGAGGTAGAATAAGAACCTCAATCCTTCATTCCCTACGAACCCATCGTAAGTGGCTTTGAGCTACTTCGTGGGCCCTTTCGGGTACAAATTGACACCCCCTCACACTGGGCTTCAGAGTAGACCCAGCATGCTGTTGCAGCCGCCTGTTGGGAGCTAGACGGTCGGTCAAAGGAGCACTGAACCAGCACCTAAACCCTAAACCCTAAACCCAAAAGTGGGATCATCAACAGTGACTTCACACTTAGCAGCTGCACCAGTACACTTTACACCGTTTGGGATACGAGAATCCCCTATAGAACTGAAAGTGTACACTTCTTTGGGGCTTATGAACTCAGCTACGTCACACAGTGGCATTGCGTGAGCTTACCAGCAGCCAGACATACGGGTCGATCGGTCGGAACTTGTGAGGACCCTAAACCCTAAACCCTAAACCCTAAACCCTAAACCCTAAACCCTAAACCCTAAACCCTAAACCCTAAACCCTTGGAAGCGCCGCAAGACGCCGCAAGACGTCAGGTGGGCTGGGGGTGACTGGAAAGCCTACAAACCCTCAAAGTCCCTGAAAGACGCTGAAAAAGACTTAGCCCTTTGAATCCCTACGCCCCTAAACCCTAAACCCTAAACCTTAAACCCTAAACCCTCAAAAAGCAACGAAAGCCCCGAGTCCCTTAAAACCGCAGCCTCGAAGAGGAGCGCTTCTTCGGAGAGCACCCGGCTTTCAAGGTCGGGAGAGTACTTACAAGTAAGCTCCTAAAGTTAGGGTTTAGGGTTTAGGGTTTAGGGTTTAGGGTTTAGGGTCTAGGGTCTAGGGTCTAGGGTTTAGGGTTTAGGGTTTAGGGTGTAGGGTCGGGAGAGTATGTCCAATAATTGTAAATGTTTTGTCAATAGAAGTATGTACTTGTTTATTTAGTTTTTTGTATGACAGATATATATATATATATATATATACACACATATACAGATCTTCATGTTTATATACATGTATGCATGTATACATATTTATGTATACATATATATACACACATACTTTTGAATGTCGCTCCTTGGGGGGAGGGCATTCTAGTTCTTTCCGGGTTTAGAGGGTTAGGGCTGCTGGCCCCTAAACTTCAACCCCCCCCCCCCCCCCCCCCCCCCCCCCCCCCCCCCCCTCCTGCGCGTAATGTTTGGGGTTTAGGGTTTAGGGTTTAGGGTTTCAATACTCCCAGGCGTTCGGTGCTCTTGCAAGAAGCCTGATAGATTGAACGTAGAGCTGTAAACCTTGCAGTAGAGCACACGGCTTCATTCGGGTCTTGAGTGCCAAGAATCTTGTAGTCAGTAGACACCAATACCAAGAATAGGTGAAGCCAAAATCGAGGTAGGGATGTTTTTGCTTAGATCTCATGTATTCGCTTCTCTGGATGATGGTCCTTTTTTGGGGAAAGATTATTTTTCATGTATGTTTCCAGAAAGGGACAACAATTTAGAAAGCACCATTGTAAGCCCTGTCTAAGCCGCGAATCCTAGGCCCCAAACACGTATAACCCAAGCATACCCAAACCCTAAAACCCTTAACATATATAAATCCTAAACCCTAAGCCCCTGAACCCCCCAGTCCCTACTCACCACCCCCCCCGCTCCCCTCGAGGATTTAGGGTTTAGGGTTTAGGGTTTAGGGTTTAGGGTTTTGGGTTTAGGGTTTAGGGTTGCCAGGCGGTTGCGGCACAATGCGGCGTGCGCTATCTGGGCCGCCTGCTGAACAGGACGTATGGGTCTGTGGGTCGAGGGTTTAGGGTTTAGGGTTTAGGGTTTAGGGTTTAGGGTTTGAGGGTCCTAAACCTGAAGCCCTAAACTTTGTCATCGTGGGGTAACATTTTGCATTTTCTAAGGGTACTTAATGTCAAAAAGGATAGAAACTGAGTTTTTAGTACTATCCCAACCATGAACTACCCTAAGCCCCTAAACCCCAAGGTTTGTTTAGGGTCGAGGGTTTGGGGTGCAGGGCTTGTCAGTTCGCACCCTGACCAAAGCCCATAAGCATCAGAACCCGAACTTTGCGAACCTGCAAGGGTAGCTATATGGGCCCTCATATGGTCCCTTACTTCCTTTGAAGGGTTCCGAAGTATGGGTCCTTAGGATGTGCAGGGTATATCAGGGGTCCCCTTTTAAGGGCCCATAACTAAGAGACCATGCAACTACCCTATTTACTTCGCGAACCTTCACCCACATTTTCCAAACGCCTTAGACCTCCCCCCCCCCGCCCCCTTCCTCCCCTCTTTCTAAACCATGTAAACCCGCTAAACCTCAAACCCTAAACCCGAAGCTGCTAAACCCTACGCCCTACACCTTAAACCCCTAAATCCCCAAACCCTACACCCTGAACCCCCAAGAAACAAACCCTAAACCCTTACAACCCCCTCCAGTGGAAGAACCCTAAACCCTAAACCCTTACACCCCCTCCGGTGGAAGAGATTCAGGATCCTGTTAGAGAAGATCATTGAAGTGCTCCCAGGTGTCCGAGCGCAGGCGAGACTTCTTTTGTTATTTAGGGTTTAGGGTTTAGGGTTTAGGGTTTTGGATGCCCAGTAAGTAGTCTAAGCTTTAGGGTTTTGGATGCCCAGTAAGTAGTCCCCGCAGTCACTCCCCTGCATTGCTCATGAAGTTCCCCGAAAGAGGCCCCCTTTTGTCCCTAAACCCTAGCCCTAAACCCCAAACCCTAAACCCAAAACCTTAAAACCCTAAACCCTAAACCCAAAACCAGCGTATTTTTCGTAACCTGGGAGCAGAAGGTGGCGCAGCTGCTCATTGGCAACAACCCTGAACCTCTAAACCAAAACCCTAAACCCTAAACCCTAAACCCTAAACCCTAAACCCTAAACCCTAAACCCTAAACCCTAAACCCTGCAGTTTCCCTTGAAAAAAGGGTCCCCTGAGCAGTCTCTATCTCAGGCCCCGTAAAGAATGGAATCCAGGCTGTCGTGAAGCCCAACTCCAAAGCCCAAGTCCTCATTCCCCGCCTTCTTGCCTTATATACCATATGTATATCTATGCAGATACATATGTATGTGTACATGTATAGCCTGTAATAGTCTCCACGGACCCTAAACCCTTAACCCTTAACCCTATTTTGCCCCTAAACCCTAAACCCTGAACCCTGAACCCTAAACCCTAAACCCTAAACCCTAAACCCTAGTCCTAAACCCTAAACCCTGAACCCTGAACCCTGAACCCTTAACCCCAGTTTGTCTGTTTGCGTGACAGGCCTTGCAGATGACCCATGACGTGGAGTGCTGACCCCGATTGGAAGGGTGGGAGGAGTTTCGGGTGTAGGGGTCCGAGCTCAGGGTTGCACAGAAGCCCTGAACCCTAAACCCTAAACCCTAAACCCTAAACCCTAAACCCTAAACCCTAAACCCTAAACCCTAAACCCCACACCCTAAACAGGGAGCATACCCGTCAGCCATGAGCATTGTCACCTGCAGTGCTCAAGCTCTGAGGATTTTTTTTTTGCTGGTTGGGCAGTTGGGGGATTTGGAGTTTAGGGTGTAAGGTTTTAGAGTTTATGGTCTGGCAGGTTAGGGCCCGCAACCCTAAACCCTAAACCCTGAACCCTAGACCCTCAGCCCTAAGCCCTAAACCCTAGACCCTAAGCCCTAGACCCTAAGCCCTAAGCCCTAAACCCTAAGCCCTAAGCCCTAAGCCCTAAGCCCTAAGCCCTCAGCCCTAGACCCTAAGCCCTAAGCCCTAAGCCCTAAGCCCTAAGCCCTAAGCCCTAAGCCCTAAGCCCTAGACCCTAAGCCCTAAGCCCTAAGCCCTAAGCCCTATAAGCCCTATAAGCCCAATTGCCAAGCCCTGAACCTGGCCCTCAGACCCTGAGTCGATACTTCAAGATAAGCCCTCGACTCTCAACTGTTCTCCTCTGTTTCGGATTTAGGGTTTAGGGTTTAGGGTTTAGGGTTAAGGGTTTGGGGTTTAGGGTTTAGGGTTTAGGGTTTAGAGTTTGGGGTTTAGGGCGTCGGGTTGAGGGTTTAGGGCGCAGGGTCTAGCAAGTCCCGGGCGCCAAAATGCACTGAAGCCAACCTGGACCTCGAGGCAAGTCACCATGCCCTTTGAGGTGCAGGGCAGGGACTTAGGGTTTAGGGCGTAGGGCCTTAGGGTTTGGGGTTTAGGGCTTGGGGGTTCAGGGTTCTGGAGTGTAAGTTTTCTTCACAGCCGAACCCGCAAGAAAGCCCCCCAAAAATGCCCGTCGACCCAGGTCTGAGCTGCAGGGATACGGCGAGCCGCTGGACAGGCGGGCAGGGGGACCCGAGAGTTGGGAACACATGAGGGGCTTTGCCCGAATCCCTAAACCCTAAACCCTAAACCCCACACCCCAAACCCTAAACCTTCCTTGTGCCAGGCAGACGTCGGGGGAAAAGGGCGCCTTGCTGCGCGGGCCCCGTGTCTCGCATCGTTCTGCGCGCCCCCAGAGTTTGACTTTCTCGAACCTGTCGGGTTTTGGGTTTTAGGATTTAGGGTTTCGGGTTTAGGGCAAGGCTTTAGGCTTTAGTCTTTAGTCTTTAGGCTTTAGGCTTTAGGCTTTAGGGTTCAGGGTTCAGGGTTCAGGGTTCAGGGTTTAGGGTTTAGGGTTTAGGGTTTGGGTGTAGGATTTAAGGCTCTTAGGGTTCTTTAGGGTTTAGGGTTTTAGGGTTTAAGGCTCTTAGGGTTCTTTAGGGGGGTTTAGGGCTTTAGGGTTTAGGGCTAAACCCTAAACCCTAAAATCAAAGCATTTAGCTTGATCGCTTAGACTGGGGCTCGAGTAGAACAAGAGACTGTGGTGAAAGGTTTGGAAATAGTGGTTTGGGGTAGGCCCTCAGGGTTTAGGGTTTAGGGTTTAGGGTTTAGGGTTTAGGGTTTAGGGTTTAGGGTTTAGTTTAAAACGAGATCTGAAACCCTAAAGCCAAAACCTTAAACCCAAAATCCTCATGCCCTAATACCCAATACCCCAATGCGCTAAGCCCTAAACCCTCAACCCTCAACCCTCAACCCTCAACCCTCAACCCTCAACCCTCAACCCTCAACCCTCAACCCTAAACCCTAAACCCTAAACCCTAAACCCTAAACCCTAAACCCTAAACCCTAAACCCTAAATCCCATCCCTGTCACAGGCTCAACCTCTTTGCCAAGTTCGCCGGCCAGTTCGGCGATGCCGTGGAGGGGAAGCTGTCCAACCAGCCCCTTGAGGTGCCAGAGGGGTTTTATGGGTTTGGGGTTTAGGGTTTGAGGGTTTAGGGTTTGGGGTTTCGGGTTTAGGGTTTAGGCCTAGAGTTTGGGGGTGTTTGGGGAGTTTAGGGTCTAGGGAGTTTTTGGGAAGTTTTGTGGCTGCAGGGTTTAGGGTTGAAACCCCGAAATTTCCAGGACTTCAAGGCTTTAGGGCGTGGGACTCCAGGGCGTTAGGGTTTACTGAGGGTTTTTTTTTTTTTTTTGGGGGGGGGTCTAGGGTTTCGGGTTTGGGGTTAGTTATAGGGTTTGGGTGCCATCCCCTAAACCCTAAACCCTAAACCCTAAACCCTAAACCCTAAACCCTAAACCCTAAACCCTAAACCCTAAACCCTAAACCCTAAACCCTAAACCCTAAACCCTAAACCTACGCTCTTTTGATAGGATCTTGCCGGAGCTTAGATGTTCTCAGGGAAAGTCCTGAAGCCCGTGCGAAAGTCCTTCCAGACGATTCCGACGGTAGCTGCTTTGTTTTAAGGGCTCAGTTGTCCAACAGCTTTCCTAAACCGTAAAGCCAGCAAATGCTCCAAGTGCTGTACCTGAACCCTCAACCCTAAAACCTGAAACCTCATTCGGACACAAGAACCGGGGGAGAAGGGGGGACCGCAAAACCCTAGGCATGCCGTTCCGTTTAGGGTTGTTTAGGGTTTAGTTTTTCGCCCCCCCCAAAAGCCAAACGACACCCTCCACAGCCAGGGTCCGGTGGGCCAGCTGATCGGCCGGGCACGCATCGACTTTCTCTTCCGGGACGTGTTCGCGAGGTGCGGGTTGGTCTCTTGAGCCCGAAGCCCTATACCCTAACCCAAAGGATCCATGTACCTATATAGCATATATTTTGGGCCCTAAAGCTACTATATAGGAACCCCTTAAAGGCCTAAGTATATACTATATAGGTACATGGATCCTTAGGGTAACCTCCACCACCCCGACCCCAACCCCGTGCCCGCCTCTTGAGCTTCTTGTGAAAAGGGAGGGTTGCCCGCCCCAGAACCATCCAACACCGGCCAGGGTCGGCGGCCCATAAACCCTGAGCCCGAAATCCTAAACCCTAAAGCCTGAACCCTGACCCCTAAACCCTAAACCCTAAACCCTAAACCCTAATTAAACCCTAAACCCTAAACCCTAAACCCTAAAACCAAACCCTAAACCCTGCCTGAAGCCTGAAGCTTGAACTGGCCAGGACAGTTCGGAACTACGACTGCTTCGCGGGGCTCACGGATGCCCGGGCCTGAGGTGTTCAGGGAGGGTTTAGGGCTAGGGTTTAGGGTTTAGGGTTAAGGGTTTAGGGCTTAGGGTTTAGGGTTTAGGGTTTCAGGATTTGTGCTTGGAGTTGGGTTGCGGCAGGATGTGGAGTGGGGCTTGGGATGTAACTTTGGGTTGGTTTGGAAGTTCTTTGAGAGTAACGCTTGGTTTAGGGTTTAGGGATTCGGGATTAGGGTTTAGGGTTTAGGGTTAATGTATCAGTCAAAATACCCCGTAGAAGTGTGATTATAAGGCTCAAAACTGTCGGGCTCGATATTGTAGTTTGCTAGGGTTAATCTGGAAGTTGTTCAGTTCTACACGGCCTGCAAGAAGTAACGGCGGATCGTGGCCAAAAGGTGGTGGAGCTCAAGTAGAGCCTTTGGGCCCCAGAAAATGAACTCCTGGACGGACCTACCTGGATCATACACCCCAGACCCTAAACCCTGAACAAAGAAGCCCCTAACCCTAAACCCAAACCCTAAACCCTCGGCCCCGGATTTCACTGAGCTTACGCAGAGAATTTCAGGATCAATGGATGCCCCCTCTTCAAGCTTTTGAAGCAAAAGTTTCCTCTGTAAAGCTCATGGGGTTCAGGGTTTCGGGAAGTACTGATCTCTGTTTTCAGGCGGGGCTTTCCTATAGTTATGATTAGGATACCTTCTTTTGGGGTGCTGAACAAGTTGAAAAACATGCGAGGCCCCAATACAACTTAATAATCCTGAACCGATCTCGGACCGGGATTGGGATGTTGAGCCTTTGCCGCCCCCCCTCACCCCGCCCCTGCCCAGGGGGGTGCTCTTCTGTTGAACACAGTACAGTTGCCTTCAACAAGGGCTCAGGCCCGAAAAGTCAAGCTGGCCTGGCAATATCATGGTCGCGCCATTGGGTGGCAACTGGACCCAAGTGACAAAGCTTATGGTTGGTTTAAGAGGTTTAGGGTTTGGGGTTTAGGGTTTAGGGTTAACGTGGGTGCGGCGGTCTTGTACATGCACAGCGAGCTGCAGACTGCCCTCGCCAAGCCGCGCTTCAGAGCCTGCAGGCCGCCGGACTTGGTAGAAAAGTCCAAGCAAATAAACAGACCAAAATTAGGATAACTGAGTTTCGAGTTTTTTCCCTTTAGTAACGAACTCGTGTAGGATAAATGAGTTCGGGTTTTTCCTTTAGTAATGAATTTGTGGTTCGCGTGCGTGCGCGCGTGGAAGTAAGGACGCCCTGATCTTGGACAATCATGCCGTTAGGGTCCCAGGGGCCCTAAGCCCTAAACCCGAAGCCCTAGCCCTAAACCCTAAACCCTAAACCCTAAACCCTAAACCCCATGGATTTCGAAGCCTCCCAAGGACGACATCCGTACGGCCTTGCGCAACGCCACGGGCCCCCGCGCCCGGCTCTTCATTCCGGAGGCTCTGACTGGATTGGGTTAAGGGTTTGGGTTCAGGGTTCAGGGTTCAGGGTTCAGGGTTCAGGGTTCAGGGTTTAGGGTTTAGGGTTTAGGGTTTAGGGTTTAGGGTTTAGGGTTTAGGGTTTAGGCTTTAGGGTTTAGGGTTTAGGGTTTAGGGTTTGTGTGTTTTCTGCTATGTTTGTCGTACTTGCCATTCTTTTGCAAGTTGCGTTAGCACTCTTGATGCTGGCATTGTTTTCAGGTCAACGTGATCACGTTACTAACGCCGGGTCGCTAAACTGCACGGGTCTGATGGAAGCCTGCGCAACGGTTTGCTCTGCGGAAGCACCGGCGGAAGGGGTTTCTGTGGTGTTTTTGCTCGGCATCTATGCCGCTGCAAAATGGTCTGCCAGACTTATAAGCAGTGTATTTCCTACGACTTTAAGGAATTCCGATTGGTATATTTGTGCGGACATTTGTGCTTGTGCGCTTGCCTGGATTCCCAACCCCCCCCATCCTCTCCCCCTCCATCTTGGGCATCCCAAACCTTCCGTCCGACCCCATCATGGAGGGTGCGGAAGCTCTGCTGAAGCTGCCGTGTGTGTCGATTTTGGAAAAGTTGCGGACAGGGTGCTGCGGAAGGGTTCCTTATTGCAAGTATTATCAGTCAGGAATACAGAGCATGGCTCATTGGGTTCAGCTAGTGTAGGCTTAGCAACATTTGCTTTAGGGCTTCATTGTAGCTTAGGCTTAGCAACAGCTGAACTAGTGCAGGGCTTCGGGCAGGACGGGTATAACCTCTAGGCTCAACTGAACATTTTGTACATACATATAAGAATATAAGATAATGCGGCTTTGTCGTGAGGAACCGGACACCTTCTAGACAGATCTTCACGACAAGACCCTAAACCCGAAACCCTAACCGTAATTCCGAAGAACCCCACGTGTGAGCACATGGCGAGTCCCTACAGGGACTGTACGGTTGTTATTTGGGCCTTCAAGCGATTCCTATATGGTAGCTGAATGGCCCAAGCATCTACTGCGTGGGCGCATGGGCCCTAAGCGAGTAGTTGTTTCGATCTTCTTACCCAAACCGTCTAAACCTCCTAAACCCTAAACCCCCCTAAATCCCTAAACCCCCTAAACCTCCTAACCCTAGGCGCCCGAAGCCCTCATCCCCTCGAATTGCGAATCCCTGAACTCTGACCTCCCAAAGCGTTGGGTTTTTGATGTGGATGAACTAGGGTCTGGGCCCAGTTGCTGTTTTCAGGGTCTCGGGCTAAACCCTAAACCCTAAACCCTAAACCCTAAACCCTAAACCCTAAACCCTAAACCCTAAACCCTAAACCCAAACCCCAAACCCCAAACCCTAAACCCTAAACCCTAAACCCTAAACCCTAAACCCTAAACCCTAAACCCGAAGCTGCCTAAGAGGGGAAAGGGGCTAAGCTTGAGCCAGAGGCCGCCTTTGAGATCTTGGTGCGCCGACAGGTGGGAATAGCGTTTAGGGTTTAGGGCTAGGGTTTAGGGTTTAGGGTTTAGGGTTTAGGGTTTAGGGTTTAGGGTGTAGGGTGTAGGGTGTAGGGTGTAGGGTGTAGGGTGTAGGGTGTAGGGTGTAGGGTTTATTGTTGCTTTCGGTGTGACCCATGTTCAAGGGCCGAGGGTTATTCAGGTCTTGGGTGTTTTGCCTCATGGGGCTGGTTGTGGATTTTTGAAGGCCTCAGGGGTTTAGGGGGTGTAGCGGCTCAAGGGTTCAGTGAATCAGGGGGCCCTAAACCCTGAGCCCTAAGCCCTAAGCCCTAAACCCTAAGCCCTAAACCCTAAACCCTAAACCCTAAACCCTAGCCCTAAACCCTAGCCCTAAACCCTAAACGCTAAACCCACCATGCGTCAGCGACTTGTCGGTGACCCACAGCCCTGGGCAGGTGGCCTGCTTCCGACCCCGTACTGTTGGTCCAAGCCATTGGCTGGCTTCCCCTGCGGCCCCTTTCTTAAGGGTTTAGGGTTTAGGGTTTAGGGATTAGGATTTAGGGCAGTGCACGCAGGGCACAGAAAGGTGTGGGTGCCAATGCCAGTAGTGTTGCTGGACGACTGCGATGCTGTCGACAAAGGCAATCCCAAATGCCGGGTTCAGGGTTTAGGCTTTTGGGGTCTAGGGTAAAGGCGCGGGGTGTAGGGTTCTGGCGGAACGGTGACGAGTGCGTGTCTCCGGGTCTCCTTGCTGCAGTTAAACCACCTAAGCCCTCACAACAATCCCCAAACCCCTTTACCGCTTCGAGTTCAACGCTCAGGGTGCTAGGGTGCTGAAGGTTTAACCCTAAACCCTAATTAAACCCTAAACCCTAAACCCGAGGTTTATGGGCTCAGGTTTCAAGAAAATCGAGGAGGTCGCTTATAGGCGACCCCTCTCAGGGTTCGATAGGGGCTCCTTTTCATGGCTACTTAAAGGCATCCCGATCTCCCAAGCCTCCTAAACCCTATAAGTCTTACGGTTTAGGGTCAGGGTTTAGGGTTTAGGGCTTATCAACCCCTAAACCCTAAACCCTAAACCCTAAACCCTAAGCCCTAAACCCCAAACCCCAAACCCCAAACCCCAAACCCTAAACCCTAAACCCTAAACCCTAAACCCTAAACCCTAAACCCTAAACCCTAAACCCTAAACCCTAAACCCTAAACCCTAAACCCTAAACCCTAAACCCTAAACCCTAAACCCTACCCCAATAGAAACTGACCGGCAGGTGGCCAAGCTGCAGGCTGGTCGTGTCATCTTGGGGCTTACGGGGGGGGGCGAAATTCTGGGGCCTTTCCTGGGCACCTTAAACTGGGTTTAGGGTTTAGGGTTTAGGGTTTAGGGTTTAGGGTTTAGGGTTTGGAAAGGCCTTAATTCTGGGGCCTTTCCTGGGCGCCACCTTAAGTAAGAGGCACACATCTTGAGGGTTTACGTTTACTTTAGGGTTTACAGAACCAGACTCCCTCCCACCCCCCCAAAGAAAAAAGACCTCGAAACCCCCCACCCTGTCCTTCAAACGTCAACTCTACTCCGTGGCCTGCTTCGTATGGCAACTTTGCATGGCAACGAGGCTCCCTGGCCTAAAATTGCATGGGACATATAATGTACCCTATGCTATAGCCCCTATTAGTTTTTTTATGAACCATAAAGAGCGTTGTTGGGGGGGGGGGGGGGGGTTTCAGGACGAAGTTTTGAGGGACAATTTCGGGGTTCGGTTGAAGGGAATTTCAGAAACGTGCCTGGGGAATTTCTGACGCAGACCTTGTGCATTTCAGACGTCCAAATATTGGGGCTTTTGGGCATTACGGCTTTGAGGGTCCCGTTCAGGGTGTAGGGTCTAGTGGCGGAGCTGCCAGGCATGCGGGCACGCCCGGGACCAAAACGGCGGACCCGAAACGTCCTTTCAGGGAACCTTTAAACCTTTTTAGGGTCCCTAAACCCTAAACCCTAAACCCTAAACCCTAAACCATAGACCCCAAAGCCCTGAACCCCCAGGCTCATCCGCAGAGCTTGCACGAAAGAACCAGGCTCCCTCCCTGCAGTGTGCGGAGCTTGTTTTCGACGAGCCGGGGAGCCCAAGCAGGGCTTCGCAGGAGTTCCCTAAACCCCAAACCCTAAACCCTAAACCCTAAACCCTAAACCCTAAACCCTAAACCCTAAACCCTAAACCCTAAAACCCTAAAACCCTAAAACCCTAAACCCTAAACCCTAAACCCTAAAACCCTAAAACCCTAAACCCTAAACCCTCAACCCGAAACCCTAAACCCTAAACCCTAAGGACCCTAAACCCTAAACAGCAGTTCCGGGTCTCCTACACTCCACATTTCCACGAGAGAGGTCCGAGCAGTGGTAGCACCTGTGCTTTTCACTGTGTTGTCGAGATCCCAAGCCCTAAACCCTAAACCCTAAAGCATCCCAACCTAACCAACCCTCCGAGCCCTTGAAGCCTTAAACCCTAAACCCTACAGTCCTTTCTGGAACCCTAAACCCTAGACCCTAGACCCTAGACCCTAAACCCTAAACCCTAAGCCCTAAACCCTAAACTCTAAACTCTAAACCCCTGAGCCCTTAACCCTGGTTTCGAATCAGAGGCTTTCAAGGCCCCATACTCGCACATCCAAAAACCCTGCCAGGCACTCGGTAGTCTAAGTGCAGCCCACCCTAGACCCTAAACAAACCACCAAATACCGAAAACCCTGAGCCCTAAACACCTAAACCCTAAACCCTACACCCCCCCAAACCCTAAACCCTAAGCCCCTAGACCCTACACCCTGAACCCTAAACCCCTAAACCCTGCCGACGCTCCGAAACTGGGGGAATCCAGGGGTCTCGGGTGGGAATTTGGGCTCAGGGGTCTGGTGGTTTAGGGTTTAGGGTCTGGTGGATTAGGGCTCAGGGTTTTGGGATTTAGGGTTTAGGGTTGAGGATTTTTTGGGTTTGGGATTTCGGGTTTGGGATTTAGGCAAAAGGGTTTAGGGTTTTGGGGGACTCAAGGCCCGAAATCGACATATCCCTGATGCGACATATTTCCGGCGACCGGCCGCCATCAGTGTGCACTGGATCACAGCCGTAACTTGTTGTGAGTGCCTTGTGCTTGTGTTTGGAGCCCATCTTTTGAGGCAGATTTGGAGCAAGAATGAACTGCTGAAGCTTTCTTTCGCGCTGGCGGGAGCTGTAAAACCAACTCTGCCCAACAGGCTCAATGCCTATAAAGGCCCTACATAGAGCCGATCTTCGTGCACAAGACTATCGGCTATTGTGGCATTGCGTGCCAGTGCCTGCGTCCGATATTTGAAGTGTGTCCTGCTTGTCGTAAGCCTTAATTCCTGGAACCCCAAACCCTGAAACAACAAAGCCTTAAGAAAGCCCTCAAGCCCTAAAGCCCTTGACACATAACACAGTGCCCCAGTCTCCCTAAGTTAACCCAAGCCCTAAACCCCAAGTCTAAGACCCTAAAAACCCTAAGCCCTCAACCCCTAAACCTCAAACCGTAAACCTCACCCTAAACCCTTAAACCCCAGACCTTATCTTTAGGAGCCTCTGCCTCGGGCCGCCGACCCAAGAGGATGTCAAGCAGTACCCGCAGAAGGGCCCAAACTGATCCGAATCTTTGTGGTGCTTTAACTGTAACTTTAGATCCTTAGCCTTTTTGGGTTTTTTGGGTTTCCTAGCAAGGCAGCCAGAAATTTAATTTACAGCTACCCTCCCAACTGCAGCCAAGGAATGTAAAATTTCACGCTGCGCTGCCTACATGTTTTCCGGGACCCCAAAATTCCCCTGATTTACGCACTCAATGGTCAAGCCTGCACCCCGAACCCTAAACCCTAAACCCTAAGGACCCTAAACCCTAAACCCTATGGACCCTATGGACCCTATGGACCCTATGGACCCTATGGACCCTAAACCCTAAACCCTAAACCCTTAACCCTTAAACCCCAAAGCCCATGCACCGACTCCTAGGCTCCAGCGCGTTTTGCTGCTCTCCGAGCTGCCCGAGTGGGCCTCCCATGATCAAGGTTTGAGGGTTTGGGGATGTTTGAGGTTTGGGGCTTGGGGATGTTTAGGGTTTAGGGTTCAGGGTTTAGGGTTTAGGGTTTAGGGTTTAGGGTTTAGGGTTTAGGGTTTAGGGTTTAGGCTAGGGTTTAGGGTTTAATTAGGTTCCCTAGATATGAACCCCCTCCCTTAAGAACCCTATAACTACTGGAGCTTTCGGGTTTTTAGGTCTTGGGTTCCTCTATTGTTCCAGGTTGAACCGTGGGCGTGTAGGGGTGGCACAGGGAGTAGTTCAGGGGACACTAATTCGTTTTGGGATTAGTGTGTAGGGTTTGGGGTATTAAACCCTACACCCTACGGTTCAGAGTTTCGGCCCTACTTGCTTTTCTTTTGAGGTAAAGGCTGGTTTCAGTTTCAGGGGGAAGGGTCATGCCCTATTCCGGTGTCGGGAGTTCACCCACCTACTGGTTTGTGGTGTCCCAAAACCCTAAACCCTAAACCCTAAACCCGGAACCCCAAATCCTAAACCCGAAACCCGAACCCTAAACCCCAAACCCTAAACCCCAAACCCTAAACCCTAAACCCTAAACCCCCAAGCGCCTACGCGCCAAAGGTTTCGGCGCTTTGTCCGACTCCGCGACCAGGTTTTCGCAGTCCCTGCCCCGCTGTTGGGCCTGTTTCGGATTTGGAGTTCCCAAAGGTTCCATGTACCTATATAGCATATACTTGGGCCCTAAAGTTACTATATAGGAACCCCTTTAAGGCCCAAGTATATACTATATAGGTACATGGATCCTTAGGGGTTCAGGGTTTAGGGTGTAGGGCTTAGGGTTTAGGGTTTAGCGCTTAGGATTCCGGGTTGAAATAGGGTTTAGGGTTTGAGGTTTTGGGCTTTTTACGGGTTTAGGGTCTCGGGTTTACACGCACCCCCCAAGTACCCCTTAATAGCCTAGGAATATCCTTCCGGGGCATCTTCCAGTGTACGTGGGGGGGTCTAGTTACACGAGAGGGTTTATACCACTGGGATTGCATCAGTAGGGGTTTACGTAAGGTTTGTATGTTAAAGCGTATGCTATGTATAGGGCTCGTGCTATCGGTAGAGTTTTATTGTGGCTGGGGCAGGAGCTCCGCTCCAAACGCAACACCCAAGCTGACCATATGTCCTAAGACAGCATGCCAGCTCTCTAAAATACGCTCTCTTCTTGAGTTGCATATTCCGCTTTCATACTACGGCCACGCGTATGTAGGTGGCTACGCTAAAGAAGCCGTTTTTGAGAGAACTGTATCCACACCTTGCAGACATGCCGCATTGTCCCCACTTGCCTTCCCCTGACACCTGCAAAGAGCCCCGAACCCCCAAAGCCCCTAATCAAGCCCTAAACTTCGAGAAAACCCTAAACCCTAAATCCTAAACCCCAAACGCACTACACAGATCCTAAACCCTAAACCCTAAAAGCCTACAAACCTTCTGCCATGCTGCTGAAGGTCGTTCGCGACATTCTGCGCAGATGCCTGGATCCGACGCTGACGATGATCCGGGTGGCCTGGCCTCTCTTTGTGGGGTGCCCTAAATCCTAAACGCTGAACCCTGAACCCTAAACTTTCTAAACCTTCCCAGAACTGCCTAAGGTCCTGAGCTTCATAAACCCCAAACCCAAAATCCCATGCACGCTTTAGGGTTGGGGGTGTTAAGGGTTGGTATGTGCCGGGCTTCAGGGATAGGGCGCTTATTGCCATAGAGCTTTTGCGGCATTGGCTGGTTTTCGGGGATGCTGTATACGGAAGGAATCGAAAACCCTAAGCCCTCAACCCTAAACCCTAAACTCTTAAAAACCCTAAACCCTAAACCCCAAAACCCCAAACCCCAAACCCTAAACCCCGAGTTCCAGGGAATCTTCGAAGCCTATTTTTGTTTGGAGGTTTTTTTGTCTATGAAGCCTACAGGCTGCATTGCACGTGTCGTACCTGTACCGTTGTTTCACATGGGTGGTTCAGGGTTCAGGGTTCAGGGAACCCTAAACCCTAAACCCTAAACCCTAAACCCTAAACCCTAAACCCTAAACCCTAAACCCTAAACCCTTAGGGTTTAGGGGGGTCCCTTTTGGGGTCCTTTTTCTTGAGGGTACCGTGCCATGTAGGAGACCAATTAAAGGGACCTCAATATAGAGAATTTACCATATGGGTGGTTGTCAAAATTAGGGTCCCTTTGTGGATCCCTATTATAATACGGCACCTAATATTTAGGGTACCCAAAAAGGGGACCATAATTTTGACATCCACCCATATATTGGTGGTCAGCCCCGAACCCTACTTAGTTCCCACATTAGGAAGTGGCTTCGCCCGCTCGAGTTAGGCATGTGAGTTTCGAGATTTCTGATAAATGTGGCGGTCCCTTCTCGTGCTAGTTCCCCCTAAACCCTCAATCCTAAACCCTAAACCCCAGCAAGAGATTGGGAGTGGGAATTAGGTGCCTCATCAGCCGCCCCTACCACCCTTTAACCTTCTGACATGTCAAGCAGGTAGTCCGAATACCAACCTCGGAACCTTCAAAACACGAATCCTTCGGGTTTCGGGTTTAGGGTTTACGGTTCAAGGTTTTGGGTTTAGGGCTGTTTTTGGTGTTGGGTGCTTAGGCTTTAGGGAGTAGGGTCCCTGCAGCAGAGGACCTGGTGTCCATTGAGCCCGGCCCCCCAGAAATTGTCACCGAGGTCTTCGGATTCAGGGTTTAGGGTTTAGGGTCTAGGGTCTAGGGTTTAGGGGCCCTGAACCCTAGACCCCACAACCCACTTAGGCCTTGGAAGTCTAGTGGGGCAGGCCTCTTGATGTCGCATGCATTCCGATTTCGGGTTTTTTTCCACCCGACACCCCCGCACTCGTGTTGTTTTTCCGAAATTCAACTTGATAGGGGCCCAATTTTTGATGTCTGGACTACTAGAGGAGCCACGATTCCAGCTGCCGTGCTGACCATTATACCTTGGGAGCCCAGTGGTACCCTTTTCCCCTTTTTTTGGTTCAAGGTTCCCTTAGAAAGTAACCAACAAAGAAAGGTGCCCTTCTTATAATGTGCTTACTGGGCTACCAAGATAAGCACTGGCATGCCCCACACACCTGTCGATCCGAGGCTGATGGTCTACAGAAGGTTTACTACGATTTGCTTCAGAATTCACCCTCAAAAAACAGAGATGTTCTTCCTTGCAAGGGCAATATAGGGATTATGCCCTTTGATTTTTTTCGGGCGGTTTTAAGCAACTAGTAGTTTAAGGTCCGTCTACTCGAACAGGGATCATCCTGCGTTCATTTGCTCCGTGCTCTGAATTCGGGTTTGTTCTTTGGGTCTTGAGTACCAATGAGAGCTCGGGCCCTCGTAACTAGAGGGTGTCCTCAACCCTACCCTAAAACCTAAGCCCTATACCCTCTGACCTAAAAGGGACCACAAACAAGAGTCCCTGAGGACCCCCAGACCACCCAAACGACTATAAACCCCATAAACTCTGTAAACCCTATACACCCTCAAAACCCCCAAAACCCTGTAAACCCAACAGTTCCTACCTAAACCCTAAGCCCGAAGCCCTAAGCCCTGAACCCTAAACCTAAACCCTAGACCCTGAACCCTAAGCCCTAAGCCCTAGGCACTAAACCCTAAACCCGAAACCGACTCGTCTGAGGATGGCTTACATCAACACGAGCCACCCTGACTTCGCGGCCTCTGGGGCTTTGCAGCGCCACAGCCTCTGCGAGACCCCAAAACTTCAAGCCAGGGTTTGGGGTTTGGGGTTTGGGGTTTAGGGTTCAGGGCTAGGGTTTAGGGTTTAGGGTTTAGGGTTTAGGGTTTAGGGTTTAGGGTTTAGGGTTTAGGGTTTAGGGTTTAGGGTTTAGGGTTTAGGCTTTAGGGTTTAGGGTTTAGGGTTTGCCATGCGAGTGCGCCTAGACCCCCCCCATAAAGTGGAAGGGGGGTCGGCGCAGGAGCCGAAGTCCCACCCTCCCAGCCCAAATCACAAACCTTGGCCGGGTTTAGGGTCACATCTACCCCCCAACCCCCTTAGCAAGGGGGGCCATCTACCCCCCAACCCCCCTAGCAAGGGGGGAGCGCATGGACTTACGGGAACTATAAGGTTCTTCCTATTTCGAGGGAGCGCATTTGTAAAGCAGAAGAGGCTATAACCCAGGGTTCCTTGCGTAGAAGATCCAGACGATGACGCGTGCAGGGGCCCCTGGGGCTGACGAGCACCTTGCACGCGCATGTCATCGCCTGGTGATGCGCTTGGAAAGCGAAATAGCACATATGTATTTTGTCCGCTTATTGACAATTGCCAAGACTAGTAAAGGTTTCTTTTGAACTATGAGCATTCTCGGCCGAAATGCAAGGGCAGCGATCGAGTCTCTCTATTGTCGTTCCGGCATGTTCAGTTCCCGATTCTCTCGCCTGGCAAGGCCGGGGGGCGGCACGGCCGTGCTCGTCGAGGCCGAGGCTTTCCTTCTTCGATTTTGTCGTCGATTTTGCAGTTTCCACGCACGGCCTGGCCGAGGCTGTCTTTTTTCGACTGTCTTTCATTTTTCGATTTCATCGCCTGGCAAGGCCGGGGTGCGGCGCGGCCGCACTCGTCGAGGCCGGTGCTTTCCATTCCTTTCTGGATTTCGCCGTCTCATACCCAGCACGGTATGGGCGCGTTGCCAGCCGGTGTAGGGCCTTGAGAAGAGAAGGGCGGTGCTGATGACGGCTGGGTTGCTGGACGAGGTCGGTGAAAAGGTTGCCTCCAGCAATCCCACATCTTCGTTCTCCCAAATGGAATGGCAAACAGTCGCCCAGAAGACTTTTCCGCGGACTCTGACATCATTGCTGAATGGAAGCCCTGTGGTCTTGCCCAAGAAACTCGCAGGGATGGACATCACACGCAGGCCTGGCGGGCTTCGTTTCGACACTAGCCCATATCAAGAAACATCGGTAGCACAGGGTCTGCCAAGCTGCGTCGAGAAAGTGTAGACGTTTGGGCAGCTGTACGAGGGCAGTTTCATAGATGATCCAGGCCCGCTAAGAAGACAAGAAGAGTTCGTCCGTGTGTCTCCAGGCTCGCAGCGGTTGCAGCTGCCGCCATCTACTGCTACCAGGAGCCACAGACAGAAGCGACAGACACGCAGGACATCAAGCTTCGACATCGTCAGAGCCACGCACGTCCACGCTGGACCTGGAGGGGGACCTGACGTTCGAGGTGGATTACGATCCATCGGACTTGGAGGTAGGCGAGGACGAAGTTGTGGGCCCTGCAAAGAGGCGGTGTGGGCGCGCACTTCGCGTGGGCTCCAGCATCTGCAACATTGACTACTCCGGCGAGCAACAAGACAAGAGGCAGCGACTCTTTGCAAAAACGCACCCACCCCGCCCGTACCAGAAGGCTACGTGGCTCCCCGAAAAGCTTCCGAGTTGTCGGTTCGGCGGAGAAGTGAGGTCCGCAGTGTATGCTGTAGACTTCAAGACCATGAAAGGGGGGATGTCCTGGTGGGGTTGCCCTGTTGGGGCTGCCCTGGTGGCTGCCCTGATGGTGGGGCTCAAATGGGGCTGCATTTTTCAGATTTGGATGCCCTAATTAGAATGCCATGTGTTGGGGACGCCCTGGTGGGCCCAAATGGGGCATAATCCATCTGGTGGGGTTGCCCTGGTGGGGATGCCCTGGTGGCTGGTGGGGAAAGAAGAAATGACCTTAGGGGGATGTCTTGGTGGCCTTGGTGGGGATGCCCTGGTGGGGATGCCCTGGTGAGATGCCCTGGTGGGGATGAGGATGCCCTGGTGGGGCTGCCCTGGTGAGGTAATTCGGGATCGGCCCGAAATTGGTCGATTTCCGGTAAGAATTCATATAGAATGGGGATGTGCTGGTGGGGTTGCCCGGGTGGGGGGCTACCCTGGTGGGGATGCCCTGGTGGGGACGCCTTCGTGGGGGCCGAAGCTTAGGGTCCAAACCCTTAATTTTCATTTGAAGCCCTTCTATTTTCGATCCCAAACCCTTAAGTTAGGGTCCCCCTTTTTTTACAAGGGACGGGCAGAAGGCCCTGGCTTTAGGGCTATCATTATATTGATTGGGAGTGGCCTTTGCGATTGCCATGTGGACCTTCCGGTCCAAGGACCTACGGCTCGCCTTCCGGCCTTCGCCCACGGTCCGCAGGCGCCTTCCGGCCGCCTGCTGCGACCGGCCCCTTGCCTGAAGCGGGGCCGGTCTTCAGTTTAGGGTTTAGGGTCGAGGGGCTTAGGGTTTGGGGTTTGGGGTTTGGGGTTGTTTAGGGTTTAGAGTTTAGGGTTTAGGGTTTAGGGTTTAGGGTTGGGGTTTAGGGTTTAGGGTTTAGGGTCTAGGGTCTAGGGTTTAGGGTTTCGGGTTTAATTAGGGTTTAGGGTTAGGGTTTAGGGTTCAGGGTTTAGGGTTTAGGGTGGCCCCTAAGTCCCCGTCTCCCGAAACCTCTGAGGTCTAGGGTTTAGGGTTCATCAACTCTCGACGCTGAACTCTCAGATTTAGGTTTAGGGTTTAGGGTTTAGGGTTTAGGGTTTAGGGTTTAGGGTTTAGGGTTTAGGGTTTAGGGTTTAGGGTTTAGGGTTTAGGGTTTAGGGTTTAGGGTTTAGGGTTTAGGGAAGCAGGCCAGAGGACACCAGGCCAGGTCTATATGCTTCAGTGTGGGATAGCAAGGTTTTTAGCGCTTGGGTTTCAGCAGCTTGAGGTTTCGGGTTTTGCTGCTAGGTTGTGGGGCCTGTGGGGGCGGGGGTTTGGGGTTTCGGGTTTAGGGTTTAGGGTTTGGAGCTTTAGGGTTTACTTGGAGGTTCAGGGTACGTACTTAGAACCCCAATGATAACTGCACCCCCAAGCCCACTAAGTAGGTTATAAGTAGACTGAGAATTGGGGTTATAAGTACCCATGAACCTCCAAGTAGGGGTTAGGGTTGAATTGCACTTGCGGGGTAACCGTAATCCCTAAACCCCAAGCCTTAAGCCCTAAGCCCTAAACCCTAAACCCTAAACCCTAAACCCTTAGCATGCCTGTCTGCCTGTGGCCCGCAATAGACAACAGCCGATTCCTGGCCTCTCCGGCCTCCTAAAAGGGAGAGCTCTTGGGCCGCGAGATATCGGGTTCACGCAGAAGTGGTTTGATACAGGGTTTAGGGTTTATGGTTTAGGGTTTAGGGTTAAGGTACTGGTAGGAGAGTAGTTGCAGCCAAAACCCCTTGAAATGAACGTGTTGACGTTTAAATTATGCGTTCCGTCTCAGTGTGAGCGTCCAGTTGTACCTCTATATTGGGGTTTAGGGCTTAGTGGGTTTAGGGTTTAGGCTTTAGGGTTTAGGGTTTAGGGTTTAGGGTTTAGGGTTTATATATATATATACTGTTTCACTGCTGGAATCGCCATGGGTGCGGGTGCGTCGTCTGCTGTGGCGGCTCTTTGCGCTGCATCTCCGACAGAGGTGCAGGAGTTTGCAGGGCAGTTGAGGGCCGACTTGCCTCTTAGTAGCTGAGTACACTTTACACTTTTTGGGATTGCTCTAATAATCCCCTTTAGAACTTTTTGGGTTTACTATAATGATCCCCTTTAGGACTTTTTTGGGTTTACTATAATAATCCCCTTTAGAACTGAACCTGTACACTTCTCAGGGGGGGGCTTTTTATGAACTCGGCAGCTATACAAGGCCTTCAGATGACTATGATAGGCTCAAGGCGGCCATACAGCTTCTGGACGCTCCCGGCTCTGGCGACTCGGGCGCATGCAGGGTCGACGTGGTTCTGCCGAGTGGCCAGAGCAAAGTCGTTTCATTGCCAGTGGGCTCTTCTGTGAGAGACCTCCGAGCCGCAGCGCAGTCATCTCTGAAACTGGGTAGCCCAGTGGTGCCCGCTTGCCCGTTTTTTTGTGTTCAGGGGTCCCCTTACAAAGAGTAGCCAACCCAAGAAGGGTACCCTTGCTATAATATGGGGGATTGGTACCTTATTAGGGGTTCTTATTATAAGACAATCCTACTATTTGGGCGCTGTTTAAGGGGTCGCCTCTTTTCGGAATCCCCCCTGATGGTTCCTGGGCTTCTAAGGAAAATGGGTCTTCTGCATCTTGCCTCGCCGGATGGCCACTTATTGGAAAAGGAGAGGGAGGTATGCCATGGAGAGAGTGTGACTGCAATTGCACAGCAGCTGGGCAAAGACGTACTGTTGGTTAGTAGGGAATGAGGGAATAAGGTACCCTATACAATCCCTTACAAGGGTATCTTGGGGATACATGGTCGGTACCTTGTTTCGCCATTCCCTTCTAACCAACAGTAATAAGACGATGTCTGAAAGAGTTCAGGGGTTAGGGTTCAGGGATTCAGGGTTCAGGGGCTGTATGGCTTAGGGATTTGAAGGTTTGGGGTTTCAGGGTCCAGACACTCGTGGTGAACCATTGATCAGGGATCTGCCAGAGCTTCCCATGTAGAGTACAGTGCATTTTGGCACGGCTGGGTGCGCTTATGGCCATGTTTAAGTTGCATCTCAGCTTCCTCCGAGCATGAGGCGCTGACCGAGTCTTTCTTTTTTAGAAAGTGATACACTATAGGATGGGACCTTGACAATGGGTCATCCGTACTAGTTTGGTGTTTCCATCTCGGGATACGCGTATTTCTACCCAACGCTCGCATGCGGCTCCTGTTTGCAGAGTATCTTCGGGGTGAACCAGGGTTTAGGGTTTGGGGTTTAGGGTTTAGGCTTTAGGGTTTGGGGTTTGGG